GCTGCCGGCTGTGGGGCCGCTCCTGGCGTGGCAGGGCCTGTCGGAGCGCTGCCCTCTCCCGGGCTGAGGTGCCCACGCGGCACCTTCCCCGGAGATCTAAAGTGGAGTCCCGTTTGTGCACGTCCCTGCCCTTCTCCCCTGGACTCTGCCTGCCCAACAGGGCCTAAACTGTAGCAAGTGTCCTCCTCATCAGTCTCCCCACCTGTCCCACACCCGGCTCTTGGGCTCCTTAAGCATCAGTAAGCGATGCACGCGTTCCTTGCGCTTTGCCACCGCCCACAGGATGAAGAGGGCCCCCTGCGTTGCCCCCACCCCGGCTGTCCCCTGCGAGCCCATGTGATCTGCCTGGCAGAGGAGTTCCTCCGGGCGGAGCCAGGGCAGCTTGTGCCCCTGGAGGGCCGGTGCCCTGGGTGAGTCCGGTCCTCTCCCGGCCTGGTCTAGTCCAGGGTGAGGGTGCCCAGTGGTCAGGCCAGACTGGAAGGGGCTCGTGATGCCTGACTGTATCCTCCGGGCCGCTGTGCCCTGGGTAGGTGTAGGAACTCACTGCTGTGGGGAGACCTGATCTCGTTGTGTGGGATGGGCTCCGAGGAAGGCGACGAGGACTCGGATTTAGCCGAGGTGAGATGGCCCTGGCCTCAGCTAGGTTACCCCTTCTTCCTCGGGCGCCTCTGACCAACTCACGTCTCCACAGGCACACTGGACAGACCTGCTGGCGACCTGATCCTCATTGTCCCCAACTCTGCACTACCCCTTTTGTATTCTCCTCAGATCTGTGCAGTTTTTACTTGAATGCAATAAAAAGTCTGAGTTCTTGTAATGTTTGTGAGGGTCCTTGATGGGTGGAGCAGAGGTAGGAGTAGGGGAGCAGGCCCTACCACTGCACCACCTTCTCTCCTACCTGAAAAACCTCTGCCAGGGGCCAGGGATTCAGCTCAGTGGTGCCACCGCCTGCCTTGCATATGTAGGCTCCCGAGTTCAATCAGCAGTACCCCCACCCCCAGAAAAACCCTCTGCCTCGATTTTCCCAGCATACCTCAGGTCACAGGATTTTCTGAGGGCTCATGATTGAGGGGCTACCTCCTGTGGCTACTGGACTTCAGCGTCCTAGTTTTTCCCTGCCCTGTGCCCTTCTTGCCCTACCCACTCTGGCCCTGATTACTTAACCCACCCAGTGACATCACTCTGGACCTCATCACAGCCAGAAGCTACTGGAATCCCGTGTGGCTGCTCCGTCCTGAACTCTTGGTGTCTTAGAGGCTGCCCTCGAGCCAACAGGAAGGTGAATAGCCCTGACCTCTAGCTTTCCCTGCATGTCCCCTACTGTGAATGGATCAGCCAAAAAAGCATTCTGCTGGCCAGGCATGGTGGTGCACGCCTGTAATCCCAGCACTTAGGCTGAGGCAGGAGGATTGCTGTGAGTTTGAGACCAGCCTGGGCTACATAATGAGACCCTGTCTCAAAAAAAACAAAAAAAAGCATTCTTCTAACCTGCCATTCAGCCGAGATTTACTGGTGGTGGTAGGGTCTGGTCAGTTGCTAGATTGCTGCTCAAAATCAAAACAGTCCAACGCTGGCTACTTTCCTCTAGTTTCAGAACTTTTTTTTTTACAAACTAAACCCACACTTTGTTTGCAGACCCCTCTACACTTGGTTCAGCCAGGGTGCTAGTCAAAGTAAGTAGTCCTTCCCACTAAACCTCACAAGTCCCAGCGCTAGTTTAACCTCCCTCCCACGCTGGCCCTAAGAAACCTTTGGCTCACAGGACAGCCTGCACTCTCCACACAGCACCCACACTAAACCACTGCAAGCTAAGGGGCCCCAATGCCAGGACCCTGAGAGGTCAGGTAAGTGCCTAGTGTGGCTGGCTGTCCACACCTCCCTCAGCGCCCTCCCAGCTGCTGGCCGCAACATCCTCTGAGGCAGCCTGGCCCCACTGGGCTCCATCAGGCTCCTAATCGATTCCTGGCTGTGGCCTTTTCTTAGTTCCTTTTCTCATTGCTGAGAAAAATTACCCAACACTCAAAGCGGGAAGGGTTTATTAAGCTCACAGTTTGTAGAGGTTTTGGTTTATAATCAACTGGCTTCAAGGCACGGTGATGGCAGACAGGTGTGCAGAGAAACAGTTCATGGAGGGCAGAAGGTAGCAAAGCAACAAGCGGTGACCACAGCTCTTTCTGTCCCTTGTATCTTATCCAGGCACTTACACCCTTAATCCTACTCCCCTTGATCTAGCATTGGACCATGAATCAATTCCAACATCACACACTCCTTAGCCAGCCACCTATGCAAAAGCTCCACACGACCTCATGAGGCTTTGAGGGTACATCTAGAAACAAGCCATAACATTCTACCCCTGCCCCCCACAAGACTCATGTAAATCTTTATGCATTGGCAATGTCCTAACAGTTTCAGCATTGCTGAAAAGTCCAAGTCCAAACGTCCTGAGAGTTAAAGCAAACTCTTAACCAAGCACCTGTATTAGCATTGGACCATGAATCAATTCCAACATCACACACTCCTTAGCCAGCCACCTATGCAAAAGCTCCACACATGACCTCATGAGGCTTTGAGGGTACATCTATAAACAAGCCATAACATTCTACCCCTGCCCCCCACAAGACTCATGTAAATCCCTTTATGCATTGGCAATGTCCTAACAGTTTCAGCATTGCTGAAAAGTCCAAGTCCAAATGTCCTGAGAGTTAAAGCAAACTCTTAGCTACAAGCCCCTGTACAAATGAAAGTTAAATATTTCCAACATTCAATGGTACAAGAGACATGTCCATTCCAAAAGTTATAAATGGGGTGGGGGTGGGGCGGCAAGGATTGGGAACCAAGCAAGACCCAAACAGCAGGGTAAGCATTAAATCCCACAGTTCCACTTCCAGCATCCCCTGTAAACTGGCAAGTTGTGAGCTCCAAAGTGCTTGGGTGGCTGTAACGCCCAAGGCTTCACTGGGCCCAGCTCTGCTCCTTCCTTGTAGCTTTTCTTACCTGACCAAGCTCCTGGCTGAAGTTGCCAAACTTCAGGGGTCTTCACTGTACCTTCGGCTTCACACACAGCCCTTTAAGGGGCACTGCCTGGCCTCCCAGGCCACCTTCTGAGGTGTGGGTGGAAGCCTTCCTGACACCGTAGCTCTTGCATTCCGCACCTAGAACTGGCATGTGGGTGATGCCAAGGTCTGCCACCAGCTGGAGCCGGAGCCAGGCTTCCTTCTCTCTTGGCGGTAGGGGCCTAGTGTCTACGAACCAGATCTGGTGTACAGCCTAAGTTCCAGCTCTGCCTTTTCAGCATCTCTGAACTTTTCCAAACTCTTTCCCTTCCCACAAGCCAGTTCCAAAGGCTCGAGTCCCATGGCCAGGTAATGTCACAGCAACAACCCCACTTTTCTGGTACCAAATTCTATCTTGGTTACTTTTCTCTCATTGTTGAGACAAAATACCCAACACTCAAAGTTAAAAGGGGAAAGGTTTATTTAGGTCTGTTTGTAGAGGTTTCATTCCAATAGTCAGGGGCTCCAAGGCAGGGTGGTGGCAGATAGGCATTGCAGAAGAAAAATAGTTCATGGCAGGCAGAAGGTAAGGAAACAAGGAGTGACCACAGCACTTTCTATCCCTTTTATCTTATCTAGGCTATTTAGGGTGGGTAGCACTCGCATCCTTAATCCTAGTGCCCTTGAGCTAGCACTGGACCGTGAATCACTTCCAGCGTCACACACTCCAGGTCCAGCCACCCCCAAGAAGCCCCACCTGTGACATGAGGCTTTGAAGGGACATCTAGCAGAGCCACGACAGGCCTCTGCCTTCCCTGCCGTTTCTCTCTGGAAACACTATCTCAACAGGAAAACTCCTGGCTGGCCTAAGTCCACCTCTCCTTTTTAGCTGTTACTGGTGTTTTTCTCTTCCACATACAAGACCCCGCCCCCAAACAAGCATAGTTGCTCAACTGCTTGTCCTGGAGCCCAGGTGAAGTTTAGCTGGGAAGGTGGGTTTTTGGGCTTGGCTGGCCAGAGAAGTTTCCCTGTGGGAAGGCCCAGAATCTCTTAGGGGGATGAGGATGGAGGTGTAGGCTAGGAGCCACACAGCAAGAACTAACTAAGATAAAGCTGGCTCACAAATAATTAGAAAAGACAGGTGTGGAGTGCTCACTGGGATTTCATAAACTTGGGCTTTGGCTTCTACTACGGACAGTGCCATATATAATTGATTAGGGTTGGGGTTAGAATAAGAATTCCTCCCAGGGGTGGGCGCTGGCACTAAGGAAGCCCGCGTCTCACACTGAGGCAGCAGCATGGAGCCGCTCCAGGACACCTCCTGCCCCTGGCTTACGCGAAGGGGGTCCCGCTCATCAAGGACTTGCAGACACCACAGAGCCACTGCAGCACTTCCAGGCTTGGTCTGATGTCCTGCTCATCAGCACCTACCCCAGGTCCTTAGGCAGGGAGGCCACCTGCTCCTGGGCTGCGGTCCCTGCTTGGCCAGCAGGACTGGCCCTCAGCCCTGTTCCTCCTCCTCTCTTCCCAGGCACCACCTGGGTGAGTGAGACGCTGGACACGATCTACCAGGGCAGCGACCTTGGGAAGTGTCGCCGAGACCCCATCTCCATGCCGGTGTCCTTCCTGGAGTTCAGAGATCCAGGGCTTCTCTCAGCTGTGCGGCCGGGCCGGGTGCAAGGGAAGCGGTGTGTGTGGGGACCCTGCTCCAGCCCAGCCGCTCTCCCTTGCCCATGCTTCAGGGCTTGAGACTGTGAAAAATGTCCCCGCCCCATGGCTGCTCAAGATGCACTTGCCTGTGGCCCTGCTCCCCAGACTCTGCTGGATCAGGTCAAGGTGAGCGGCAGGGCAGGGCTCCACTTGTCCTGTTCTGGTGTGGACCCCTGAGCCTTCTCTCATCTCAGGGTAGAAGTCACTCCCTTTGCCTGGGCAAGAGCTCAGGTAAGGGAGACTCAGTGCAGACCACAGAAAACTGGCCTAGCAAAAAGGGGGCTGGTGGCATCCCAGAATTTTTGTTCCATATCTTGGCGACATTGAAAGAGGTCAGATTAGTAATAACTATCGTGGGCTGGGGATTTAGCTCAGCAGTGCCACAGCCTGCCTCACAAGTGCAAGGTTCCAAGTTCAATCCCCAGTACCAGAAAAATTTTTTAAAAATAAATAAATAAAAGGAAAAAACAAACTGCTTCCCATTGCTGAGGACACCAAAAAAAAAAGGTAATAAATATGGATGGTTCCAGGGACCAGTCACTACTTCAATATCAAAGAAGGCTCAGGCCTTGCAAATGCAAGGTCCCGAGTAGTAAAAAAAAAAAGGCTCAGAAGAATGCCTGCTCAGCTGTACCCATACCGTGACATCTTCAGCAAGGGGACTTCCACACTCTCCTTTGCCAGACCTAGAGATCCGTCTGCACAGGGAGTATGAAGAATGCCCGGAAAGCAGGATAGGGAGCAAGTCTGCTCTAGGGTTGTGTGTGGCAAGGGTGCACAGGATTGGGTCACCTGCCCCTGCAGGTGTCTATGCTGCACGAAATGCAAAGGACGTGGCGGTCTCCTATTAGAACTTTTACAAGATGGCCAAGCTGCACTCTGAGCCTGGCACCTGGGAAAGCTTCCTGGAGAAGTTCATGGATGGCGAAGGTGGGCCTGACTCTGCAGGGCGGAGGGTCTAAGTGAGGGGCAGTCAGCTAAATCCAGACTGTTGTCTTTTGTCCCCTTCCCTAGAGCCTATGGGTTTTGGCACCAGCACGTGCAGGAGTGGTGGGAGCTGAGCTGCACCCACCCTGTTCTCTACCCCTTCTATGAGGACATGAAAGAGGTGAGACCACCTGCCAATGTTCCCTCCTTACCACACAGGACAGGAACCTCATGGTGACCGGCTGAGGCCTTCTCCAACCCAGTTGTCTATGGCAGTCCCACAATCCAGGGATCCTCTCTTCCTTCCCGGGTGACCCATGCCAGCTCAGCAGCATGACTTAACAGTCCTGATCTCCAAGTACCTTCGTCAGCGACGTGTGCATGCACTGCTCCGCAGTTTGGGGCTGTTGCTTCTCCCTGCCCCAGGATGAGTGCCCAGCTGCGGGCCCTGCCCTCCTCCAGGAGGAACCAAAGGGGCTCACTCCAGGGTCCCGGTGGGGAAGTGACTGGCTGTGCCACAGGGAAGAGCCCAGAGGCAGAGCAGGCTGAGGCCTCTCTGGGGAAGTGACATTGCCCCGTGAAGTCAGAGGGGCCGTGTTTCCCTTACGAACTTGAATGTGTCTGCTTCTCCAGGACCCCAAAAGGAACACTGAGAAGATGCTGCAGTTCACGGGGCGCTCCCTGCCTGTGGAGACCGTGGACCTCATCGTCCACACATCCTTCGAGGAGATGAGGAACAACCCCATGGCCACCTACACCACCGCAGGCCCTGCCCACATGGACCACACAGGCTCCTCCTTCACGAGGAGAGGTGGGGCCTGGCCAGGCCTGGGGTTTGGGGCAGAGGGAGGGAGGAAGCAGCCACCACGGCCCACCTGGCACGTGCGAGTCCTCTGCACACTCTGTACACTCAGGCCTCTCTCCTTCTCTCAGGCATCGTGGGGGACTGGAAAGGCACCTTTAATGTGGCCCAGAACCAGCAGTTTGACGCCCACTACGCTGAGAAGGTGGCAGGCTGCAGCCTCCCCTTCCGCTGGCAGCTCTGAGTGCTGAAGTGGGGAACCACGCAACGGGGTGTTCAGCAGCCTGAACCTGAGCTCAGGATAAAGTACGATGAGCCCACTCAGGCCTGTGTTGCAAGCAAGACAAAGCCTGAGCTGGGAGCAAGTCCCACAGGCCCCAGATACAGCCTCTCCCGCAGGGGCCTCCACTCCACCCCTGTCCGTTCAGTGGGGGGAGATTTGGGGAAGTGAGGCCCGGAAGACATGAGAGAGAGGGATGAGGATTTATTTGCTCACAGAAAAGCCTTTGTTGCCTCTCCCAGGAGGAGTGAGGGCAGCAGTTGCCTGCGTCTGCCAGCCTTCTTCACTTTTTCTTAGGCTCCTTACAAGCCACAACGTACCTCTGGGCCACATTGAGAGGAGGGGAGTAGCCATCTGCGTAGGAGGTGTCTTCAAACAGGACGGAGTAGTCATCCTGGGGCTGGCAGGAGGGAGGACAGGCTGCTCAGACACCTCCAGGCCAGGCCTGCCCAGCATCCAGCCCTAGGCTAGTAGAGGAGCCACAGGCTACTTGCTCCTAGTTTATCCTGTCCTTATCTTCCACTCTGGGGTCAGGAGGCTCGGAAGGGCAAGGAACAAAGAGCAAAGAGAAGGCGATTCCCCCGGCCAGACTCAGGCCACAACAGTGCGGGTCTGCTGCACTCAGGAGCCTTTTGTTAACGGGATCCAGGGCAAGCCAGACCACCAACCAGGGTCTTGGAAGGAGACAGAAACAGCTCCAGGCTGCACCTTCCCACACAGGACCCAGGTAATATTGTGGGAGCTTTGGGAAGAACTCAGGACAGCAGAGAGGCTGGAGCTCCAGAGGTGTGCATCCACCTCAGGCTGCCAGTGAAGCGGGACAGGAGGCGCAGCAGGCCTCCAGTCACTGCTGGCCAAGGCAGCTAGGACAGACCCGGATAAGCAGGAGAGGGGAACCCAGCCCTGGAGAAAGAGAAGCAGAGAGGGACGGGGAGGACCACCCTGTGACCTGTCTTGGCCCCAGGGGTCCTGAGAGGCCTCTCCGCCCAGCCCTTACCCGATGTGGGGGAGTGTGGATCAGGGCCCGGTAGAAGCAGGTGGTCTGTGGATACAGGGCCAGCACAAGCTGCTCCTTCTGAAACAGGGCCTCGGGGTCCGTCTCGGGGTTGGCCTTCCACTGGGGCAGCGGGATGATGCGCCGGCGGCTGAGGGTGTGTCTCCTGGGGGGACCGTGTCAGTAGCAGCTGGGGAAACACCTCCCAAGGGCCAGCCCTACCCCCTCGGGGACACTCACTCTTTGCCTTCTTCATCAATATCATCCACTTCATACCTGTGGTGACAGAGGGGAGCAGTGGATGCCATTAGGCTACAGGCCCAGTCAGGAGGAAGGAGGACACGGGGGTGGGGGGGACACAACACTGGCCAGGGATCAGGGTGTCACACACCGCCGCCACCGGGCACTCTGGGGAGGTAGTTTGCAGACAGGTGGAAAAGTGGCAGATGAAGGTGTAGCAAGGGCGGCACAGCTGGCGGCAGGGTAGGGAGGTGCCACTCACTTGTTGGTGGCGTGGCTGTAACTGACCACCTCAGCCAGGATCCACTGCTCGTCCCCATCCACAGCCTTCACCCGTGCAGCAACCTTGTCCCCAGGTTTGGCCACGTAGTCCCCTGATGCTGGAATGGCCCCACAGAGAGGTGGGGGCCTGGGAGTAGAAGGCCAGTCAGCCTGGCCCCTCCACACTGGCCCCTCCCTCGCCAGCCCTGCCTCACTTGTCACCAGGCTTCCCGATCCACAGGGGTAGGGTCATGGCCGACTGCTGCAGCAGCGTCATCAGCACCCCTCTCCTCATGGTCTTCCGAGGGGGCTCCGAGTCATTGTACAGGCCCGCGATCTTGGCCGCTGCAGGGAGGAGTGAGCCCCTGAGGTGCAGGCATGCCCTCTGCCAGGCCCACCCAACTCCCGTGGGCCATCCCTGCCGCCCACCCATGTCAAGCTGGGGACACACAAGCTAAATGACCAGGTTGGTCAGAGACAAGGCACAGTGGACATCCTGGGGCAAAGAAATAAAAAGCCGCCCCAGTGTGGCTTCTGGGGGGCTGATCAAGTTCTGAATTTTAATTTTTCCTTCCAGTTCTGTGGACCGTACCCAGAGCATCCTATGCTAGGCAAGCACTCTCCTACTGAGCTAAACCCTAGTCCTTTTAAATTTTTATTGTGATGTGAGTCTCACTGGGTTGCAGGACTAGCCCGGAACTGTTATTCCTCCTGTCTCAGCCTCACAGTAGTGGGGACCACAGGTCTGAATGTCTGTACCTGGCTCCCACTGTTTCTTGATCTGGGCAGTACTCGTGTAAGCGTGCTATGTCACTTAGAGTTTCATCCAGCCATACAGTTATGTGAACTTTTCTACAAATATATACTGTGATTCAACCAGAAGTTGAGAAACCAAGGATCCAGTGATATCCCTCAGCCTCTCAGCCATGGCACAGAATACCTATCCACAAGAGCAAACCCCAAATGGCAATGGAACAGCACTGATGGGTGGAGTCTGCTGCTGTCACCACAGGCAAGAAAGCCAAAGAAATGGCGACTGAAGGGCTCTGGAAGCCAGCACACTGGGAAACAGGGCTCCATACTGGGGCTTTACTAAACCCTGTTATTACTACACCAAGAAACACCTGACCGGAAGGAGGGACAGGACCAGCCTGGGTCACAGAGGAAAAGAGAAATGTGAGGGCTGGGGTTGGATTCCTAGTCTCGGATGTGAACTAGGGAATCCCCACCTGTGAGATTCATCAGATGCCCCGTGGGTGACTGCCCGGAGATGTCCCAGCCCCTCCAAGAGCACGCCCGCTGCCCTTGCAGCCCTCACTGCCTGCTCAGGAAACACCCACACCCCCTCCCCACTCACCAATCCTCCTCTCTTCCAAGAGAGACTTGATCTCGGCGATCTTATCCAGGGCCTTCCTGAGGATGCTGAGGGAGGGGAGGGACAGAAAAGGATGGGTGAAGCAGATGGCATGGGCTTCCTTTTCTGCTGAGATCAACCTGACAGCTGGAAGCTACTGACCCCAACCCTAAGTTAGTTATTCACCGCGCAGAGACGGGAAAGACGACGTGGGCTGCACACACAGTGGCGGCCCGTGAGATACTGTCTCGGGGCTCAGCCACCAGATGTTGTGCAGTGTACATGTCAAGGCAGTGCTGGTATAAATAAACCTACTCTCCTGCCAGTCTTACAAAAGTAGAGGGGACACAGCTATATACAGTACAGTGCCCCGGATAATGATAGCAACTGTTACTCAGGTTATTTACTATCTTTTTTTTTTGGTACCAGGGATCGAACTCAGGACCTTGAACTTGCATAGCAGGTGCAGTGCCACTGAGCTAAATTCCGAGTTTACTGTAAACACACCACAAGTCTCTTGTTTACAGCACCTCTTCACTGCATCAGCAGGCCAGACAAGCGATGCCCTATAGCAGTGGTGGTGAACTTATGGCACATGTGCTGTCTGTTACCAAAGTTCTAAAAGGTTCTCCATCACTGCCCTACGGTATCTAGGTCTGTGTCATTGCTCAGGGACGTTTGCCAAGGGATAAAATTGCCTAAGGATGCACATCTCAAGATGTGATGTGGCTTGTGGCTGCAATGTGTATTTTTTATCTTTTCATGGTTGTAGTTTTTGTGGCACTGGAGATTGAACCCAAGGATTTGTGCATGCCAGGCAAGGAAACTATCACTGAGGTACACCCCAACTGTTTTTCAATACCAAAAGCAAGAATGGCAACACAATAGGAAGTAGAAGGCCAAAAATCCTAAAAGGACCCCAGAGAGATAAGAGGGGCAGGCAGAGCTCCTCTGCCCTGGGCGCGTCTGTTTCTGTAGAAATGCTGCTGCAGCTCCGCAGCCCTAACCAGTCCTCGAGGTGTGGTCAGAGGTGACCATCCAGGGCTGCTATAGGTGGGACAGATGAAAGGAGCACCCTGGGAGCCGGGCAAGTGTCCTGGCTCAGAGAAGCACAGGGGCAGGGAACTCACCCCTACCAGGCCGCAGGCACAGACAGACCTGGCATGGACACAGCCCCAGGAACAAAGCGAGTATACGGGGTTCTAGGACCCAGGTAGCCCAGAGCCATCTGCACTAAGCTTTGCTGGAGGCAGGCTTCTTCATTCGAGACCTCAGGGAATCTCCTCAGAGACCATCTCAGCAGCAACAGCAGCAGGGCCTCCACTGCAGGCCGTTTTATCCTTGCCTCCCATGGCAAACTTCAGTCCATTCCTCCAGCAAAGCTTTACTCAATGTTGCCATGGCATGGATAAGGGGACACTCGCCTCTTACCCTGGCTTGGGAGCCTGAAGTACAAGGAAGGAAAGTTCAAAGCCGGCCTGAGCAATATACAGGGTGTGATCAAAGAATGCAGTTAATAGTAAATAAAAAAAAAAACTGTTCTAGGGGCCAGGGATTTAGCTCAGTAATTCCACTGTCTGTCTTGAAAGGACAAAGACTTGAATTCAATCCCTTGGCTAAAAACAAAACAAAACAAAACAAAACAAAACAACAACAAAACCTGTTCCAGCACAAGATGCTACCAAGAATGATGGGTGTGTTTGAAGTGAGGAGCAATAGGCTGGGGGTGTGGTGGTGCACACTTTTAATCCCTGCACTTGGGAGGCTGAGGCAGGAGGATCACTGCAAGTTTGAGGCCAGCATGGGCTAAGTTTAAGGCCAGCCTGAACTATACAGTGAGACCCTGTCTCACAAAAACAAAAAGAGGGGGAATATTCTGAGTATTATGAGTGGGGTTAATGGCAATGGGCCCTTTAATAAATTTTTTTTCCTGAAAAACGTTTATAGAGAGACCTTGTTTCAAAAGTAAGAATGAAAAAGGGATGGAACAGCACTTGCCTACAGTGCATCAGGGCCTCAGTTTAATCCCCAGAGCAGCAGTAACAGAGCTGGTAGTGGCAAGACCTTCACCTAGAACGTGAGCTTGTGGGCATCCAGAGGGCGTGACTCTTGTACAGCCTGCCAGGCAGAGACCAAGACCCGGAGAAAGACTGGCCACCCCTGAGCAGAGCAGGGGAGAAGCCAGGCAATCAGGCGCTCAGAACCAGCAGATCAGGAATAAAAGATGGAAGGCCAAAGGGAACCCTGGGAAGGCTGATCTTTAATGCTGAGCCTTTTTAGAGGATACAGTTTTTATGGCCGTTTTGAAATAGGGTCTCCCTGCATAGGCCAGGCTGGCCTGAACTCACACCCTCCTGCCTCAGCCTCCTGGGTACAGGGATGACAAGTGTGCGCTACTGAACCTGGCCCAAGAACACTTTTCATAAAGTATGTCCAAACTGCATTCTGTGCAGTCTCAGAGGAGTGAGTCTCACCCCAAGTGGACCCCAGAATCTCCTAGGGAACTGTAAAACAATTTTTTCACTTGTTTCAGGAAGAACTATAAATGGATGCTAAAATAGGCTTGATGTGGAACTGACATTCACATGGTCATAAAGCATCTCCCTACAAGATATATTCTGATTACAAATTGAACTTGATGGCGCACACCTGTAACCCCAGCACCCCAGATGGTGGCAATGGCGAAAGGATCACAAATTTAAACCCAACCTGGGCAACTTAATGAAATCCTGTCTCAAAAATAAGCAGGGGGTACAGCTCAGCGCAAAGGCCCTCTGGGAATTAAAAAAATACTGATTCTACAATGGAAAGCAGCAATGACCCAACACAGGACCAAGCCAGGAGAGACCACCCTAACTTCCAGGGCAGTGTCACACCCATGCCACTGTGCCCCAGTGTGAAAGCCGAGCCTCGTGGCGTGAACACATCAGGCACACCCATGCGGCAGGACATCTACAAGCTTCCAGACGCCAAGCCATGAAAGGCCAAGCAGACTGAGGAAGCCCACAGAGCACACTGGGCGCAGGGCTGACCTGCTGTAAATAAACAGCCTGTCCCTTTGCTGTGAAGGACATAAGCAGATGATCATGAAACATGAGTAACCCAGTGTCTTCACATGGAGCTATATCCCCTGCCCTTTTTATTTTTTACTCTGAGACAGAATCTTGTTAAATCACTAGACTGCCCAGTGAGACTTGATCCTCCTGCCTCAGCCTCCCAAGTGCTGGGATTACAGTCATATGTCACCACACCAAGCTCACCTTTATTTGAGTCAATGTCCTGATTTTGAGAATTATACTCAGTTGTATAAGACTGTCTCTGATTTTTTTTTTCTGGTATAGGGGAACGAACTCAGGACCTTGTGTTTGTAAGGCAGTCACAGTGCCCGAGTTAAATCCCCAGTGACTCTCTGGTTTTAAGAAGCACTGTTTTCAGAAAACCTGTTGGAACATCCAGATCTTTGTCTTAATCAGCACAGGGACGTGGGATCTCTTCAACTGGGAGAAAGCCTTACAGTGCTGAGCTGGCATCTCCCCTGCCTGTACACTTTCCCATGTGGTATGACTGAGAAGGCCTGGCTTGGTGTGTAGGGAACAGTGTAGGAAGGTGTGAGTCTGAAAAAGTAAAGCTGTGGCAGAACTGCAAGGTGGGCCCTGCATTTACTAAACAGGTTTATGAGTGTTGAACTCTGAGCAAGTTGCTGCCAGAGACTGCCCGTACCAGACTGTTCCAGTTTTTTGCTCTGCCAACAGGCTGGGAAGGGACAGCTTGCTTTTCACTCTCCAGTGCAGAGCTGGGGGTGTAGCTCAGTGTAGGCCCTGGGCTGGATTCACACACACACACACACACACACACACACACACAAACGCGGGCGCGCGCGACGGATAAGTCACTAACTTACACTGGCTACTCCAGCCCAGGCAAGGGGAAAGGCCTGACTCTCGAAGGTGGCAATTTGTACCAGGGGAGGGGAAGCTGGGCAGTCCAGAGGAGGAAGCAGTTTCAAGGCAGCAACTCCAGCCAGAATTCAGTGTCTCTTCCCTGCAGCTCCACCTACTCAGTTCTGTGTCCCAACTGGGCACAAGTAACCCCACCAGACCCCTTGTCCAAGTTGAAAAGCTGGGAATCTAAGTGTCCCCCGTCTACTGGCCGCCTAATTTGATATAGAAACTGGCTTTGACCCGTCCTCCCTCTCCATCCCCACTGCCGCTGTCCCACTCACCTCAGTCACACTCAGGCCTCATCCCCTAACTGGTTATTGTTTTTCTTTCCTGCTTTAAGTCTTCATTGGCCTCCCACAGCCTCAGGATAAGACCCACAGCACAAAAGGCCCTCAACTCACACCCTCTCCCTTCCCCAGCCCCGTAGGCCTGTGCTCCTCTTCCGAATGCACGTGTTCTGCAGCTCCTGCCAGGGCCTTGGCACTCCGTCCCGGAGCTCTCCTCCTCCACCTGCTGACTTCTAACTCAGGGACCAGCGGAAGTCCCCCTCCTCCCCAAGGCAATCCCAGACCTTTCATCTCTGCAACCATCTTTAGGGTGCCTCTCCTCTCTGAACTGTGCCCACCTTTGTCCCCTAAGGGATGGACCAGACTCAGATGAGCACAGCAAAGGCCCACAGAATAGTTGCTGAAGGCAAAGAAAACCAAGGGCCATGAAGCCAGGGGGTGGGATAGCCACACAGGAGGAAGGGAAGCGTGCTGGGGCCACTATTAAATGTTCAGGGTGCTACTCTGTCTCATGGCTGGTACTCCACAAGCCACTGAATGGGCAAAGCAATTATTTGTTTGAGACAGGATTTCGCTATGTGGTCCAGGCTGGCCTTGACCTCAAAGCCATCCTCCTGCCTCAGCATCCCAAGGGCTGGGATTACAGGTGGGCACCACCATGCTCAGCTATAAAGTAATTAAACTTAAGTTGTGAATTACAGGGGTGTCAGACAATTAACCTTGTGGGTGCAATCTACATTAAAAAATAAACAAAATTATAAAATAGAGCGTATGTAACTGAAGCTCTTGTTTGAATTCTGTGACATTCATATAAAACAAATTTGTGCTGGGCTGAGGATTTAGCTCAGTGGTGCCTCTGCCTGCCTTGCAACCACAAGGTCCCGAGTTTGATCCCTAGTACCAAAAAAACCCCCCCAAAACAACAAAAAACAAATCTGTGCTGTACAAAGCCATTATTAATATCATCCAGCAGGGTATTAAAGAATATGAATTTTGGGCTTAAAAATCACGCTGCCCAGCCAGGTGTGGCAGCATATATCAATAACCCCAGGACTCTTGGGGGCTGAGGCAGGAGGATCTCAAGTTCAAGACCAGCCTGGATGGCTTTGCAAGCCTCTGTCTCAAAAATTTTTTTTAAAAAATGTTTTTCTCACTATGTAGTTGAGACTGACCTAGAACTATGTAGCCCAGGCTGGTCTGAACTCACAGCGATTCTCCTGCCTAAACCTCCTGAAGGCTGGGATTACAGGCACATGCCACCACACCCAGCTCAAAAATAAAAATGTTTAAAAGGCTGAGGATGTAGCTCAATGTGAAGGTCCTCAGTTCATTTCTCAGTACCCACAAGAAGGAAAAAAAAAAAAATCAGGTTTCTCTATTTACTAGATGGGTGGATTTTAAAAGGCTGAGGATGTAGCTCAATGTGAAGGTCCTCAGTTCATTTCTCAGTACCCACAAGAAGGAAAAAAAAAAAAAATCAGGTTTCTCTATTTACTAGATGGGTGGATTATGTCTCAGTTTCTTCATCTGTACAATGGCAGCAACACTTCCAGTGCTCAGGGGGTGCTGCGGGGACCAAGTAAGGTAAACAGGAAAGGTACTGGGACTGGGCGGAGCACAGTAAACCCACAGAAGAGCATGTATTCCTACCACAAGGGACACTCAGAAGAGCGCAGAAAGCTGACATCTGACACTTTCTATGAATTATCCCATTTTATGTGCACAATCCCGTGGGGAGTTGTTATCCCTATTTTAAGGATGAGGCAACTGAGTCTGAGCAGAAGTGACCACTGGGTCTTCCTCCCTGGGCCACAGGCAGGGAAGGGCACACGGGGTGTGCACAGTACTCACTTGCACTCGGCCTCCGCGTCAGCCTTGGCAGTAGTGTACAGGCCGCGCAGCTTTGTCCGGAAGTAAGGAGAAACTGTAAGCACAGAACAAGAGCGTGGGCAATTTGGCAAGCTTCAGGGGGTGCTGCGGGGACCAAGTAAGGTAAACAGGAAAGGTACTGGGACTGGGCGGAGCACAGTAAACCCACAGAAGAGCATGTATTCCTACCACAAGGGACACTCAGAAGAGCGCAGAAAGCTGACATCTGACACTTTCTATGAATTATCCCATTTTATGTGCACAATCCCGTGGGGAGTTGTTATCCCTATTTTAAGGATGAGGCAACTGAGTCTGAGCAGAAGTGACCACTGGGTCTTCCTCCCTGGGCCACAGGCAGGGAAGGGCGCACGGGGTGTGCACAGTACTCACTTGCACTCAGCCTCTGCGTCAGCCTTGGCAGTGGTGTACAGGCCGCGCAGCTTTGTCCGGAAGTAAGGAGAAACTGTAAGCACAGAACAAGAGCATGGGCAATTTGGCAAGTCCCAGGGCACTCAGGGAGGCCAGGCTGCAGGCTGGGGTTCCTGGCTCAGCAGGGCTTGCAGGGGCTGAGGCCCTGTTCAACAAGTTCCCATCTCCATAGGTACAGGAGTCCTCACACCTGGGAGAGCGCTTTCTGGCCTTTCCAGATCACAACACACAGAGAAGCCAGTTGTGAGCATGAAAGAAGCAGGCGACTCTGATGCCAGTCAGAGGAAAGTGCCTGCCCTGTGGTGACCACTGTGGGACTAAGGGTACAGCAGGGAACCCCAGGCGACAGGGAAGAGGAGGGTCTTTAGTGCCAAGCCGAGCCCATCCCCACCTCCCAGATCACTTCAGGTCACAGCCCAAGGAAACACTGCCCTTCTGGTCCAAGGAGCAGCAGCGCTGTGGAGATGCACACATGGTAACAGCCGCGCGCTCCCCACCCTCCTCCTCTCTGCAAACCAACTACTCACTTTTGTTCTCTGTCTGCATCCGCTCATGGGTCTTCTGGATGTTCACTAAGTTGTGCTCACTCCGAGAACGCTCTTCCTGCGAGGAAGACGCAGAGACGTGAGGCAGACCTTCGTCCAGCATAGTACTCAGCATCCCTTCCCATAAACCCAAATTCTGGACAAGTTTGAGACAATTTTTTTCCCCAGACTAAAACAGAAGAAACCATCAAAGGTAAATCATTAACTCATGCCTTCTGACAACCCTTCATCGAAGACAAACTGCTCTACAGATTTAATGGAGTGCCCACCCATAAAATTCCAGTTGCCTTCTTTGCAGAATTGACAGGCTCATCCTAAAATGGACAGAAGTGTAGAGAACCACATTAGCCCAATCTTCAAAGTGAAAGAGGAGAATGAAGGACTCACATACTTCAGGCTCAACATTTACTACAGAACTACAATACTCAAGATGAGGAGGTACTGAATTATAGACCAACAAAACCGAGTCACAAGTCCAGACACTAACATGCACCTCTATGGTTAACTGGTCTGGGGAAGAAGCAGAGAAAACACACAGGGCTGCACGGCCTGATGGCAGAGACAGCCCCAGCCTGCTCTAGATGGGCACTGCGGCCAGCACTCTAGACCAGCATGCCTCAGCCAGTGTGTCTTCCAAAGGGGATAAGTTCAGTAAAAATCATTAATAGACAGCCCCAGCCTGCTCTAGATGGGCACTGCGGCCAGCACTCTAGACCAGCATGCCTCAGCCCAGTGTGTCTTCCAAAGGGGATAAGTTCAGTAAAAATCATTAGAAATGGTTAAAGGACAAATATTAGCAAAGTTAAAAAAAAAATGAGCAAGCAGTCATGTGGGACTGAGGAAGTCCAGTGTTACATTAAAAGCTGAGAGAGAAATCAGAGCAAGAGAATGACAGTGCAGTCATCTTCGTTCAATTTCACCAGATGCCAGAACACCCCCAAGACCACTGCTGCTTCTGGAAGTGGACAAAGTCAGACGGAGGCCAGAAAAGCGGAGTGGCAGCCCTCAGAGTCTGGTTAGGTGGGATGATGATATAATAGGCTTTTTATTTTGTTTTGTTTCATGGTACTAAGAATTGAATGCAGGACCTTCACAATGAGCTACATCCCGACCCTTTTTACTCAGACAGGGGCCTCACTAAGCTGCCCAGGTGGACTCAACTTGTGACTCTTGCTGCCTTGGCCTTCCAAGTGCTGAGATAACAGGCAGGTGACACGAGGCTCAGCTGGACGGAATGCTAATGACGTACCTGCATCTTTTCTGTCCTTTAAATTTTATTCAATAAACCATTTTAGAACAGCATTAAGTTTATATAAAAATTGACCGGAGAGTACAGAAAATGCCCATTGTCTTCTCCTCTGTGTAGCTTCCCTGATCTCTCACACCCTGTATCAGTGTGGTCCTCTTGTGAAAGCTGACATACCAAAACTTATACACACTGCCACAGTTGAGTTGACACTAAGGCTCACTTTGTAATGTATCGTCCTGTGTTTAATACGCCCACCACTGCAGTATCTTTCAGCACCTCCCTGAAAACTACTCCGTGCTCCACGTATTTGTCCTCCTTTCCCACCATTCCCAAGGCACTAGCAACAACCTATCTCTTTTCTTCTCTTCAGTTTTATCTTTTCCCAAATGTCGTAAGATAGGAGTGAATCATACAGTATGCAACCAACCAGCCTGGGTTCTGAATTTAACTTAGCAATATGTGTGCCAGAATCCTCTTATTTCCCATGCTACACCTACTACAAAGATATCATTTAGGCCAGGCATGGTGGCACCCACCTGTAATCCCAACACTTGAGAAGGCTGAGGCAGGAGGATCGCTGTGAGCTCGAGACCAGCCTGGGCTACAGAGTGAGTTCCAGGTCAGTCTCAACTACACAGTGAGACTTATCTCAAAAAAAAAAAAAAAAAGTGACTTTTTTTTGGACCGGGGACCAAACTTGGGTCCTTGTGCTTGTGAGGCAGGCAGCAGAACCACTGAACTAAATCCCCAGCTACTTTTATTAATTTTTGGTTGGAAACCTTTGCTGAGAAATTTGTAGGTTTTCTTAAGTTTCACTGTATTTAGGGAGTTCTGAAGAACATGTGAATCAAAGTGAAGAAATGTTAGGGAGCCAATGCCCTCTAAAATAAAATATGCTAATTTTTCTTCTTTTGGGGTTTTTGGTAAAATATTTCTATTTCACTTGAAATGATAAAACTACTTCTGAGTAGACCAGGAAAAGGCTGTATTTTGTAAACCCTAGCTTAGGGTTAGAAAGGCTTATGCAGGCTGAGTCCTACACCCCACCAGCCTGAATTTCTTGTGACTCTATTTCCCATCCAACCATTGGCCCCAACCTCTCATGTCCAGCAAGAGAGCTGCCCTTAAACGAGCACTTCCTGTCCACGTTGCCTGCTTGTTACCACACAAGGTGCACTGACTTATGAAGCCTCCTATTCCACTCCTTATCAGCTGTGCACGTCACTCCTGCGTGCATCTGTGCCCCAACCGGTCACTCGGCAATGACTCTTAAGTTCATTTGTTCACACGGCTGTTTACCTCTCATCCTAAGGTGCCCTTGTGGGTATTTACAAATGCTTAACTTAAACTTATTTTACCATTTATTTTAAGTATGAATGTCAATATTTATTTAAACTCAATTTTGTATTAACATTATTTTATAATTCAGTACCTCTGATGTGTGTTGCAATGGATGTACTAAATGTGTCCCTTTGGCTGACCATCTGAACTGGGGCTTATTTTGGGGTGGGGTCTATGTTAGGAGCATCCTGAAAAGCATGTGGGGGTTTTTTTTCCAGCTAAGTCTTATTTTCAGGGAAGTAGAGTATACCAAAAGCCACTGAACTGCATACTTTACATAGATGCATGTAGACTATCTTTCAAAATGCTACACAAAATGAATTGCTATTTTACACATAAAAAGAATGGTAGTCATACTTAAAATTCCCTTCCTTTTTAATTTTTATTTTAAAGCCACTGAACTGCATACTTTACATAGATGCATGTAGACTATCTTTCAAAATGCTACACAAAGTGAATTGCTATTTTACACATAAAAAGAATGGTAGTCATACTTAAAATTCCCTTCCTTTTTAATTTTTATTAATTTATTTAATTTTGTTTGTTTGTTTTGAGCCAGGGTCTCACTATGTAGTTGAGACTGACCCGGAATTCACTATGTACTCCAGGATGGTCTTGAACTCAGTGATCCGCTTGCCTCAGCCTCCTGAGTGCTGGGACTACAGGTGTGTGCCACCACACCCAGATCCCTTGCCTTTTTTTAAAATAAATTTTATTCTATCCCATTCTCCCCCAAGCCCCTTCTCCTCCCTATGTACAAAAGCTTTGTTTCCATTTTTCCCTGCTATTTTCCTTTTTTTGTCCCTTCCTTCCTTTCTCCCTCCCTCTTCCCTTGTTCCCCTTCCTATTCGAACATTTCCTTCCTACTTCCCAACATCCATTATACTTCTCAGTCCTCATTTCCACATTCAGTTTCTCACCCCTCACCCTTCTCCTATCACCTCAGTTCCTGCAGGCCCACTCTCTGTGAACACAGACCTATCTGGTTCAGCATCCAGCCCCGTTCCTCTGGAGGAGTGAAAGTGTGGCTTCTTACCTGGGTTTGTTTGATCAGCTGATGAAGCTCTGTGAGGAGCTCTGCGATGCGGGAGTCAGCAGACACAAGGGCCATGGTAAAGTGTGCAGTCCCTGATGGGAGGGAGAGCAGAAGAAAGCTCTGTCTGTTAGTGGCTACTGTGGGAAGAATTGTACCTCTTCTAAAGATACGTTGGGCCAGCTGTGGTGGTGTAGGCCTGTAATCCTACCATTCTGGGAAGCTGAGGCAAGAGGGTCACAAGTTTGAGTTCAGCCTGGACAAAATGAAAAATAAAAGGGCTCAGTGCAAAGATCCTGGGTTCAATTTCCAGTACCAAAAAAGAAAAAAAAAGTTGATCTCTACCAAAATACTCTAAGAGAGACTATTTCCCACCTATGCAGAAGAGATATTTCCCCCTTTATAGATTCATTCATTTAATTATACTTACTAAGTATCTATTCTGGGGCAGGCATGAGGGATATACAGCAATCAATGTGATAAACAGGCTCTGCCTGTTCAGAATGCAAAGAAGACATTAAATACAATCATGGCATGATGACATCTGTCAACAACAAACAGATATATAATGGTGGTCTCATAAGTAACACTTAGTATTTTTACTGTACCGAGACTTACAAACACCATTTTGTGACAATTACTTCCCCATCGTGTAGTGGCTAACACGCTGTGCAGGACTGTAGCCCAGGCACAACAGGCTAAACCACTAGGACACCACATAGCCTAGGTGTGTAGGAAGTTGTATAGTCCTTTTCTGTGTAAGTACACTCTATGATGCTCAAATGAAATTGCCTAGCAATGTGTTCCCGAGAATATTTTCCAGTCAGCAAGTGACAAATGACTACAGTTCCATATTTATTCTTAGGTGAAATAAGCACGACAGGAGACAAAGGATAAATCAATCTAAATATATATTGACAGAGAATGTCAAAGAACTAAAACAAATTCTCAAGCAGAAAGAACTTACCGAGTGTCAAAGACAACACTCAAGACATCCAGAAGCAGAACTTCAAAACCTCAAGGACAAGTAGGTTGGTAATAGGTTGGTGGAGAAGGGGAAGAGAGCATCATGAATACCTGAAGGTTTGTGGCCTGAGATACTGAAAGAATAGGAAGATCTGAGAAGGCAGGTGAAGGATAAAACTCAAAATTTCTATGCTGAACCCAATCAAAATGCCAAGTAGACATGTAAGAGGTGTTATGCCAGAACTGAATCCTTATGTTGGTTCCGCCACCTGCCTTGCAAGTGCAACATCCCAAGTTTGATCCCTGGTACCAAAGAGCTGAATCTTTATGAATCTTGAATTCAAGGCAGAAGATAGAAATCTGAGTTAGCAGCACAATAAAGTATTTATATCTGCAGTATAAAATGGCTAATGAATAGGGGGCGAATAGAGACAAAGGGGTCCCCTAGGGTTAGGCCCTGGGGTAGGACAGCTATCAAAAATAAAAATAGCAAGACACTGGGAGAAGCTAGAGGCAAAGAAGAGGATGGGCAGCAAGCCATGGGCAAGTATTTCGAGAGCTGAATCAAACCCTGCTATGGGACAAGAACTAACTTTAACACTGAACCTGGCAACCTAAACATCATTGGCAACTTCGCAAAGAGACGTTTTAATGGGGCGGTGGGGGCCGAGGCCGACCTGGAGTGGGTGAAGAGATTTGTTATGGGAAAATCTCTAATGGGTACACACTGAAGACTTCGGCTGCAAACAGGAGCAAATGAGAAGCAACTGGAAATAGCTAGAGGGTGCATGAGGTTGTTCTGTTTTTAAAGTGGGCACTTTTACTTTTCTTTTATTTTTTCCCAAGGCTGGTAAGAACTGTAAATTATTGGAGTGGCGTAATAGAGCATGAGATTTTTTTTTTTTTTTTTTTTTTTTTTTTGACAGGCTCTTGCTAAATTTCCGAGTTGCCCACGCCGGCTTCAAACTCGCAATCCTCCTGCCTCAGTCTCCCTAGTAGGTGCGATTACAGGCGTGAGCCGCCACGTCAGCTTTATTTTCTTTTAGAAGGTGGTAACTCTTGCGCAGGCAGTGAAAAGCGCCGGGGTTCGCAGCTCACCCTGACAGCGGGTCTCCGCACCGGACTGAGTAGTCCCGCCCGGGAGGAAGGGCGCATCGAGCCCCTCCCCGAGCCGCCCAGGGCGCGTGCGCGCCGCAGCCAACCGACGCCTCGAGCTAAGGCGGAACGTGGGCCCGGAGGGAGGGCTGCAGCCCTTCATTCCCAATTTCTCCCGACGTTCCAAGCCACGGCCCAGCCTCACCCACAGAGTCCCAGGAGAAACAAGCACGTCTCGCTGGCAGTTGAGACGGCGGGAGCAGGCGCGTCCTCGAATGCTTTCTCGCTGCACGAATGGCAACGCACTTCCGTCCGAAGATTCGCGGCCCGTCGAGAACCACACACAGTTTTTTCCCCTTTTATAAGCTTGGGCTAGCGCGGCGGGCCCCCTTACGCATGCGCCCGTTGGCGTGTTGCGCTACCTGCTGGGAAATGTAGTTTTCTTTTCCCGTGACTCCCTGAATTCTGATTTAGCAAAGCAGAGACAGACTTAAAAGCAGCTGGTTGTTGATAAGGGGAGGAGGGCCCCCCCCGGGGATATGTGACACCTATGTACTTTCAGCTCAGGTTTGCTAAAAACCTTAAACTGCTGTAAAAAATAAAGCCTATTTTATGTACATATAACCAGTCTAAAATAATTGTAAACTGCATGAATTACAAACATGTACTAATTAAGTGAAAAAAAAGTCCGCTTTGTAAAAATTGGAAGTAAAGTCTAAGCAAGCAGATCTTGAGAATAACTTTGGTGGGCTTTTTTTTTTTTTTTTTTTTTTCTTGGTACCAGGGATCAAACTCCGGTCCTGGGCTTGCAAGGCAGGCGGCAGAACCACTGAGCTAAATCCCCGGCTAAGCAAGCAGATCTTTAGACCCAGAATTACAGTGTTACACAATCTTACAAGGAAATTAAGGACGTGGACATATAGACATTTTGTTACAATAGTGTCTGTAGAAAGCCATTATCCTTATAATTTCTTATGTAATCCCTATAAAAGCCTATAATTGTATACTCATTTGTTGATTATTTGATAAACTTGCAAGTTCTACGAAGTCAAGATTTTGTTCTAGGTATGCTCAGTATCTAGCACAGTGCCTGGCATATATAATAGGTCATCGGTACTTTTCTATATAATAGAGATTCTCCAACTTCAACACTGAAAAGGGGCTGGGGATTTATCTCAGTGGTTCCACCACCTGCCTCACAAGTGCAAGGACCTGAGTTCGATCCCCCATACCAAAAACAAAAAAACAAAAAAAACACTGAAACTATTTCAGCTCAAATATTAATGCATTTTTTTCCCATCAAGCTTGCATGGTTTCCAGCACAGTGAATAGCCAACCATCCATCCAGTCTCAGTTTTACATCTTGTTTTTGTGAATATTAGGCTATGAGGAATTTCACAAATTTCACATTTATAAAGTTCTCAGGAGCTATCTCTTCTGAGTGTAAACATCCACTGCATTTGCTCTCTGGGAGAGATTTTGGGTTCATAGTTATAAATTTTACCTTTTATCCCTTATTTTCTACAGTAGACATATTAATTTTTTAAAAAAAGGTGTGGGGTTTTGGCAAACATACTAATAAATATATGTGAGTTTTTTGGGGGGTTTGGTTATTTTTGTCGTGTTCATGTTTTTGTTTTGAAACAGTTTCTCTCCATAGTTTAGGCTGGTCTTGAACTGTGTAACCCAGGCTGGCTTCGAACTTGTAGTGATTCTCATGCCTCAGCCTCCTGTGTAGTGGAATTACAGGCATGTACAGCACTATGCCCGGCTTTAAAAGTGTTTAGTTGGTGTTATGGTTTAGATCTAAAAAGTTTCCCTAAGTCTCATGTTTGGAGGGAGACTGGGTCTTGGATTGCCACATTCATCAGTGAATTTGTCCATCGATGAGTTCAGTTAACAAATGTGCAGATAGGAGGTGGGGTTTGGTAGGAGGTGGGTCACTAGAGGCATGACCTGCAAAAGTATGATCTTGTCCCCAGCTCCTCCCTTCTCTGCTTCTTGGGTGCTGCGGGTTGAACAGCCTTCCTCCACCAGGCCTTAACACCATGCTCTTTGTACCTTGGAACAGCCAGCCAGACTGAAAATGTGAGCCAGAAGAAATCTCTCCTCCTTTATGCTGGAGGTGTTGAGTATTTTGTTTCACTGATGGGAAACTGTGACAGCTGAGCACTGTGTGACACACCTGTAGTTTGAACTACTGGGGAGGCTGAAGTGAGAGGATCACCCGAGCCCTGGAGTTCAAAGCCAGTCTGAGCTACATAGCAAGACTCAGAAAGAACTGTCCTTAGCCGGGGGATTTAGCTCAGTGGCACCACACCTGCCTCATGAGCACAAGGTCCAGAGTACCAAGAAAGAAAAAAAGAAAGTCAGCCATAAAGAATGAGAAATTAGATTCACTCATAGGAAAATGGATACATATTGAGGATATACTCCTAAGTGAAATAAATAAGTCACACGTGTAAATACTGAACAGTTTCTCTGGTGTGAAAAACTGTAATGGTACATAAGATCCTAATGATATAATTGACAATGTGAAATAGGAAGAAAAGGGCTAAAGGTGTAGGGAAAGTGGGAAGGGTAGGGGAAAGGTAATAGGGGAAAAGAAAAAATATGAGAAAATGAAAAAAAGGAAATAAAATGTTTGTAAATGGGGAGGGGTGGAGGGGGTGAAGGGAGGGCAGGGACAAGGGGGAAAAATGAGAACCAAGACCTGTCATGTAAAGGTACAAGACCCTAATAATGAATGTAACTGTACTGTATACCTAAAATGTACCAATAAACTCAATGAGAGAGAAGAAAGAAAGAAAGACCTGTACTATGTGTGCATCTAATTTGTGGCTTAGAGTAAGTCTGCAGTATTTCAAAGTGAGCTCTCACATGTTAGTTGTTTAGGACCCATAATAGCCCTTGAAATTGCATCCAACTACTGGCTGCCATAACCAGTACCTCAGGGAACAACCTCATGCTTCTCCCTTCCTGGCCTGAGTGAGAATTTGTTTGGATGTAGACCCACTAGTGGGATGGAGTAATACTTCTTACAGTGTTCCCCAGATCAACTCTGGCCAGAATAGTCTTTTTTTTTGGGGGGACTGGGGATCATACTTGAGACTTTGCACTTCTGAGGCAGGTGCTGGAACCACTGAGCTAATCCCTGGTCTCAGAGTAGTCTTTTAAAAGTGTAAATGAATGTGAGAGGCTGGGGATTTAGCTCAGTGGTTCTGCCGCTTACCTCGCAAGTGCAAGGACTGAGTTTGATCCCCGGTACCAAATTAAAAAAAAAAAAAGACTGTTCCTGATACTTCATTTCCATCTGCCAAGAGGCCGAATGAGCTTTGACAGAAAGACTGTCCTGACACTTTGTTTGCATGAGGTAAAGTACAACTCCTGGGATTTTGGATACTAGAGACCCCTTTCTCTTTGTTCACTGGCCTGCTCTTGCCCTGGCGACCGTACTTTCTTTCCACCTTCAATAAACATGCAATCTCATTATCTATTCTGTGGGTCTCATCCAGTTCTTTGTTTGGGACACCAAGGACCTGGATATAAGCCCTGGGGGCACCTGTCTGGTGACACTGGATCTGCGCCCCTTTTCCTGCCTGCCACTCTGCCACCTCTTCCACCACACTTTCTGCTCCAGTCCCTGGGGTCCTCTTTGGGTCCCTGTGTCCCCTTGGCTTCTGCAAAGGCTGCCTGAAGCACATTTATTTCCCTTCTTCACCCCCGGAACTACGCACGCTCACCTGTGACCTCCCTGCTGGGTCAAGAACCTCTACTTTCATCTCTCAAGGCACCCTGTAGAGAACTCTACTGATGTGGCACACGAGCTCTATATTTGTCTATGGTTTTATCCGACTCACATCTGTCTTCCTTCTCACTTCTTGGATTATAAACTCCAGAAAGGCTGGGCTCCTGTTGTTTCTTTTGATCTCTGTATCTTAGCTCTGAGTCCAGTACCAGCACACAGTATACATGCTTGTCAGATGAAAGAATAAGTGAAAGTATTATCTGTGCTTAGAGAGAAATATGGAGGGGTCAGCATCTTGGTGGGTAACCTTTATAGAATTTGGCCTTCAGCCTTGCAAGACTAGATAGTGTGTTTTTCCAGCAACCTCTAACTCCTAAGCGGCTGAGGTGCTCATCTGCTGAGTCATTCAATGGAGAATCAGAGCCATAGAGTTGAGCAGGACACTTCCTTTGTCTGGGAAACCACAGCAACAGTATGGCAGAGAAATCTGGGCCTCTCTGCTCTCCTTAAATGTCACGGTCTCAGAGCATCATGTCTGAGATCCTTTTTCTGCTTTTAGTCCTCCCCCCATTGGGGATCAAACTCAGGACCTTGGGCTTTTGAGGCAGACGCAGCACCACTGAGCTACATCCCCAACCTGAGGTCATTTTTCAAAGAACCTTGAGGGGACAAGAGGCCTTTACTTCAGAACACCAAGGAGGATGACATGGTACATGGAGTGACTTCCTGCTGCCCTTCGCTGAGTCTCATTGCCACAGGCAAAGCTCACATCTCTTGTTCTCTCTGCTTTCTTCCCATTTGGAGCTGTTTTTTCTTGCACAGGGGGAGTGGGGTTCAGGCACCCTGTAGGTAAAGCCAGCTGCCCATCAACCTCAGGATGGGACCCCCTGGCAGGCAGGTGGAAGAAACATATTATGCCACTTTCTGGTCATAATCAGGCTTTTTGTGTAGACATTGGGGACAAAGACTGTGAAATAGTGATGGAAACTGTACCTGGTCACCATTTAATGGTCTTTGTCCCTGAGGCTTACATAAAAAGCCCCATTCTGGCCAGAAGGTGGCATAATATGCATGGAATCAAAGGAAGGAAGGAAGGGGACAAGAATCTATTAGCTCATCATTTTCTGTCTTTTTGTCTGCTTATAAATTACACATTGTGAAAAAGTCTGAAATCTACAATTGGTAATGGAGAAAAATTTTAAATTCTCCGTAATCCCAGGCTAGGATATAATCATTATTTTTGGTATTCATCTCATTGTCTCGCCTTTTTATGTTTAATGACTAAAATGAAATTTCTTACAAAGACAGGGTTACAGACTTCCTGTGGAAATCAGAGCTGCATTGGACTCAGGGTCACCATAGGGAGGCTGGACCTGGCCACCTGAAGGCCGGGTGGCCTTAGCAACAATGAGCTCCACTCCAGCCACCCCCTCTCCTGGCCAGTGCGAGCAGGGTGTCTGCAGGGACTAAAGGCCTCTTCCCAGAGCCCTGAGCCAGGACCACACCACGGAGAGGAGCCCGGAGACACCACCCCCCACCAACGTCCCAAATCTTCCTGGCCGTCCTCAGAATTCCAAGACATCTCACCACTGCCCACCAAGTCCTGGGGATTCAACCCAGGGCCTTTACACTGAGCTACATCTTCAGCCCTTTTAAAA